ATTTCTTACACTTATATAGCGCTTTTCTGGACACTCCACTCAAAGCACTTTACAGGTCATGGGGACTCCACCACCAATGTGCAGCCCCTCCTGGATGATGAGACGGCAGCCATAGTGAACCAGAGCCCTCACCGCACACCAGTGGGGAGGAGAGCAGAGAAATTAAGCCAATTCATAGAGGGGGATTATTAGGAGGCCACGATTGGTAAGGGCCAATTGAAAATTTGGCCAGGATGCCGGGGTTACACCCCTACTCGTCCTTTGTCCCTACTCCTCGTCCCTGCTCTTCCCTACACCTACTTTGATTACTCGTCCTTCCTTAAATCAGTTACATTAGTTACGTCTGCTTCCCTCTTCAAATCAGTTACTTGTCTACTTCATTTGAGTCTCACACAATAACATGATCCATGACAAAAGCTGCTTTCTGAAATGTAACTGTGCAACACACAACATTTTTTTTTACCCTGTCATCAGTGGGTAGGTGTAATCTCCATATTTAAAATAGTAATGAAACTAAATCTCCAGTACTATGGCATCTGAAAACCACATCCTATTTTTCCTTAAGACATATATACCTATACTATGATCACAAGCTTTGAAAAAGGTTAGCTGTCAAGTCTAATTTGACTTGGAAAGAGGAGTGAAATCTGAGGATGAGCGGCAGGGAAATTTGAAGGCAGCCAGAAAAAATACCGTTCAAGAAAATCACTGTTGATGGTAGGTAGGCTCCATAACTGTTCACCATTACAAAGTGGCTCTGCTTTTTTTAAGGTATTTAAATAAAGCGTCACCTCCTATACCACTGCATACCATCACATTCACATATGAACACAAAACCATTCCAGGGCTTAAATCATTTCATATCAACTTCTGAAGAGTAAAAAAAAAATTCTTTAAGGGCTGAATATTGCAGTTAACATGACGTTGTGACACATTTTTAACGGGAGGAATACAGACATGAAGGAACTGTTGAAATACTTGAATCAATATCTTTGTACAAGATTACAAGCACAAAGATCAGTTATACAGTAATAAATGTTGTACTTTACGAAAAGACCAGCGGGAATTCCAGCACGTGCAGTTTGTAACTGAAATAACGACAGTGAGTTAAGAGAAAGATAGAGATATATGTATATATATCATTTATTTGTAGGGGTCTGCCCAGGGGCCGCTGGTAGTTCCAGGAGATTATTGATAATAAAGCTCCCCAATTTAGATCTCTCCGAACATGAGTTCATGCCACACTCTTAACATATTGTTATAAAGCCTAAGCAGAAATATCAAAACCAAGGTTTGTTAAAATTATAAAGCAGAGTTATTTGTTGAGTTAGAACAAAAAGAAAGCACTGGCCCCAATTGTTTCTGCCTTAGGTATTTTGATTCCGACTTTTAAGTATTTTTTTCTTTCTCTTTCAAGCACCTCATGCTTCCTTTTTGGTCCATCAGCAGCCTTTTCTATGGCAGTTAGTAGGTCACTCTTCACTTTCCCACACACACCTGATACCACCTTCCTGTGGGACATTGTTTGAACCAGATTTGTTTGAACCCAAAATTCCTTGGGCACACTAAAGTTGTCCTCTGTCACGACTGAAAATGTTATCAAATATGGAATAAAAATGTACTTCCTCTTACATTTGAAAATTTCAGCAAACTCGACAATGGGTGGTAGGGCCCTCATCCCAGCCAGCAAAAAACAAAATCATCTGCATGTTCCTGCAGCAGTATATTTTGACTGAGGTGCAGCAGATTTTTTAATTCTTTGATTCACAGGCAGTAGACGAGACTGCCCCCCCCCACCTTTCACTGAAGTCTCCCTTCTGCTAATCTTAAACCCTTTCCACTAATCTTTATAAGCAACCCATGCTTAGTTACAGAGGAATTCTAATTGGTACACAGCCTAACACACATTCTTAGTTGACTTTATCCCCAGAAGTTAATTAAATGTATGCTCTTGCTGACAGCAAGCTTATCTTATCAGAATTTTCATTAAAACAGTTATATGAAGCATTGTCCCAACATACACCCGCTCAGATCTTAAGATAAGGAAACTGGTCCAAACCCTAACCTGTGACACTCAGGTTATTTCCTGAAAGGCAATCTGCAGCAAGTAAAGGCTTTAAATTTTATGAAGACTCGGCTTCAATAAAGACCACCTGTCTGTAGAAGCTACCTTTCAAAAGACTGAATGTCACGCAGCATTTAGAGCAACCTGGGTATAAAGACCATCTGTCCACATGGATCACTTATTTCAACGTCCTTATGGAGAGAGGGGAAGGGCGGCATTCTTGTAAACCTTCTTTTTACAGTTAAAATTGCTCAGCACTTTGGTCATCATTAACTGAAAATGTGATGTAATCCCTCTTAGTACTAGATTGCAGCACCTATGGGAAATACATTCCATATAACAACAATGTTTTATAAACAGCTGTATCAAGCATGATTAAAACTGCCAGGGTGTGGAGTAAAGCTCCTTGTCTAAAGTATGTTCTGACAAAAGAGAATCCTCCTTCTGTTGCTTATAAAACAAGATCAATATAGACTCCCAAACACGTACGAGTCCTTGTTTTTATCTAGTCAGCTCCTGGGTTTTAGCTAAATGAAGCATTCAATGTGGAAATAAGTGGATTTTTGGATTGTTGACATAAATCTCAGAATGGATTTTTTACGGATCACAGAGAAACTTGAAAGAAGGATCCTTTGCTTATTAGTAGGACTCTCAGTTTTCAGATTTTGTCTTTGACCAGTCGCTCTGCCTTGAAAGCTGTAATGGGCAGCTGTTAAGCCCTCTCTGGTTTTAATTACTGTGTTCATAGCAAAATGAGTTCAAGTATTTTTTAAAGTAGCTTAAACAAGGATTTAGATTATTGTATTCATTGTTGTCTACAGATGATCTTGTGCCTCTTTAATGAAACGGAAATCTGTCTGGAAATCCTATTGTTATGCCAATGAATAAATAAAATTATAAAAAAGACAGGAGTGAGGATTACATGGTTTTAGACATGGAGGCAATTCATGTGGGGTAGGAGAAGAGCAATTAACTCAAGATATAAAATGACAGACTCATCATAAAACTATGATAATCATATTTAAAAGGCCTTTTCAGGCAGACTAAAACATTATTACCTATGTTGAAAGGCAAGTTAAGGTAAAAACAACAGGCAAGATGAGATTATTTTCTTCAACATGTCAGATCTTTTAACTAGTTTTCATCTTCAATGACTGAAGTGAAAATAAATTTCAAACCTACGGTACAATCTTTAAGCAAGACTCTTAATTCTCTATATCCTTAAGAAATATGTTCTTGGTTTCTAGGTAGTTCTTTGCAAGTGAACTGTAACTAGATAACATTTCCTATCTATATCCAGTCAAAACAGTGACTGTACTGTATTTATGAAACGTCAGAGTGTTCTATCACAGGTTCTAAACAAGGTAACCAGCCAGCCCATTCCATGTCTTTGCAACATGTTTTTGATGAAGCCATCATTTTTGTAACTACGGAACTAGTTTTAATAGAATCCAGCAGTGCAATAGACTGGAAGGCTCCTTTGTCAAGAAGTCCTCTGTGGCAGCCAGACAGCAACACAGTACGTGTTCCTTGTACCAACTCACCAGCCCCAAAGGCAAAGAAGAAGCTCTTGTGTGGATGCTCCTCCAGAAGTGCTCGCACCCGTTTCCCCATCCTCTCATTACGCTTGTAGATCAGCTCTTGCCTGAAGTAGCTGTCAATCTCCTGAGCAGTCACTTGTTCATTGGGGGGCAGCGTGACATTGTTAAAGTTAGGAACCTGGTAAAACAACATTGATGGAGCTGTTGGAGGATGCTGATGTCATCGTGTTTTTCTGTTATTTTCACGACCGGGAAATTAGATTACTTGGGACTCACTTGGGAGGTGTCATGGTTGAAAATGATGGAGTTCAGGTCTCCACAGTTGTAGTGCTTGATGAGATCTTCTGTGGTGTAGGGCACCTGAAGGCTGCCGGCCCTGAGACTCTCTTGCTGGAGCAGAGTCTGGTTCAGAGCGAAAATCACCTGTCCAAGAAAAAAAAAGGATAATAGAAAAGTACAGTTAAAATGCATATACCTTCAAAATCACTTATTTGCAGTAGAGATATCCATTTCTTTTTGCAACACAGAGCTCTACACAACCTCTAATATACAGCACATATTTTAAGTTTGCTTTAGAACTCAGGGGTATGAATATAGAAGAAAAGATCAAACAAACAGTCTGTTTTTACATTTATATCCACATATAGTACAATATATAGCTAATTGCACCACCAGAACACACTTAAATCCACACTGCCCTTTAACAGGAATTTCTCATAGGATGTATTCCATTAAAACAACAAACTTAAGTTCAAAATTAATTTTGTATGTTCAAGTTTGCAAAACAAACCCAAAGTAAAATTCTAACAATGAAGTATTACCACATCATTTGTACTAAGCATTTATGTCAGTTTATATGTTTAGAACATGGAAAAACTAATTTCACATGGCCATTGCAACACACTGCCACCAAGGTTAATTATACCTCTGCTTTTAAAAACTACTACTATGCAATGAGGAAGAAAACCTGGACTTTCAAGAGACTTTTATAAGTCTCAGAATAACACAGTTATATCTAGTTACAGCTCACTTGTAAAGAGCTACTAACGAACCAGTTTCTATGAGATTAGATAAGAGTTGTCAAAAATTCTCTAATTTCCTTTTTTTGGGTTGTAAAACATTGACTAATGAGGACTAGAAGAGAACACAATCCCAAATATTTGTGGACCCTTACGAGTGCAAGAAAAGCAAAACCCGAGCCTCTATGTCTTGGTACCAGTGTCTTTTATTGAGCATATTCTAGAGAGAACTCTGCAATTATGGGAGGTTAAAAATACAAGAAATTTAAAGATACATCATAAGCTTGGATTTAAAATGGAAGGATGTCCTACCAGTAGTGATTTTTTCCATTCTATAGAGTATTTGTTAAACATATAATAATAGTAAGACCTGAAAAAGTGAGAAAAAAAAACATAACATATGCCATACACAATACATCCACTGTGTACAGCTGAGGGTAAGTGGAAAAAAAAACTGGATATGAATACTCTGAATTGTGCAGACACTACACAAGGTACAGAGAGAACAAGGTGCGATAGATTGTCCAACATAATATAATGTGACTGTGTAAAACAGCAGGGGCAGTTGGGTTCAACTGGAAAATTTCAAAATACCTGATGTACCACTAACTTCAAAACGTTTAGTGTTTAATTGCAAAGCCTAACCTTCTGAATGGGTGTCCAGGATGTCACGTCAAATGGATTCATCCCCCTGGAAACTCTGATGGGGAAAATGTCCTGTGCAGCAGCAATGAGGCCCTGAGCAATACCATGCTGTACCCAATCAAACTGCTAAGGTCAGTGTTATCAGGCCTGCTCATAGGTACAATATAATCTGAATGGGGTCATTTCACATTTTCAGTAGAATCTAATTTTACAGAATATCATTCTACTGTGCACTCTTTTCAACAGAAGTTATGGGAGTGCTGCTAATTATCAAAAAAGTATTTAGAAATATTTGAAAAAAGTCATAAATTGTTATAAAGTGTAAAGGGAATGCTCACTGCTGTGGCATAGATTCCTAATATGAAGTACTACAGGAAAAGGCCTGCAGATAAGATCATAGATATCATTTACTTTCAGAACGTTCCAAGCCAGAACTCAACCTCAGATGACCACTAAAATCGTGAGAGAACAGCAGAGAAGGTGGTGGGTAATTAGTCCAAAAGTTCAAGTTGGTAGCTGCGTCAGCATGACTAGGCTGCAAAGGAATTAGTAAAGGTTTATTCCATGCTGAAAAGAAAAAGAAAAGAGACACCACGTTTTGACCGTGGAGCCTTTTTCAGGTGTCATGGAATAGACCTTTACTTGTTCCGAAGTCCGAAGAGACTTCCTCATTAGTGTCTCCGATTTGCAGTTTGCAGACTGACAGGACTACCTTAGCAATGTTGCCAGTGCTTTATCCTAGAAATAATTTAAAATAATGGATCTGCTTTCCTCTGTGGTGCTCTTGTGTTCAACTGGTAGACAGGACCTGGGCAGGAAACAAGAACAGGGGCCCCACTGACAGCCTGTCAATGCATCAGTCCCTTTGGGCTTTCTATGTTAAGTAAAGAGTGCCCAGGGTTTTGTTTTCAAAGTAAACAATCACGTGTAAGCCTGAAATGGTTCCTTCTGATCAAGGGCCATGATGCGTTGTGTTATTCGTTTTGTTATGTTTTGTTTTACTTCTCCTGTACCTCATCTTGTCCCATTATCAAAGTATCCTGTGCTTATTCTTCGGCCAAAGCTGCTGCCTGCTATTCTTTATCAATGATACACCCGTCCCCCCCTCTTTTTCCATCCCTAATTCAGTCCCCCAAAAAAATCAAAGCCTTTGTGGGGGAAAAAAGTCTTTTCAGAACAAAAGTAACAAGTTTATCAGAAGAGGGTGCTCTCTCTCTCTCTCCCTCTTTGTGTTCTTTTTCCTACTGAAGAAAATCGATTTAAGCCTCCCAATGTATACTATAGTTATGTGTACATCTATACCATGCATGCATATATATTTATACACGCACACATATACACATTACTCTAGGCTCCTTTTTTGTTTTCTACAGTGGTCAGATGACACTTTTACTTTCACTGTCATTGTTGGAGCAATCTCATAGGATAAGGGGGCAGAGCCCAGCAGATGCCTTGTTGTTTGGGACAAAGGAACCCCTGCCATCCTCTCCAGTCACAGCACTTTCATCCCCCTCTGATCAAAGCGCCACTCTGCATATGAAAGAGGGCTGGCTTTATGCTGCTCAAATTAGCCTATCGCCACCCCGCCAGCCTCCAAACTCCACAACAAAAACTCTCACATCTGTTCAATCTGAGCCTCATCTTCTGGGTTTTTTTCTCAGCCCTTAGCTTTGAGCGCTTTTCAGCCCCTTAAATTATGGTTGGGGAAAGGGGGTGTATGGATCACTCGTACAAAAAAAAAAGAAAAAAGAACCGAGAGAGAAAGAATAAGAGAGAGCTGAACGAATTACATTTCTTCCTGTGATCCCCTCTCTCTTGTTTCCAGGCTGTGGGTCACTGGATGCGTTTTCCCAGTCTGAGCTCTCCTTTTCAGTTTGCATAAACTGTTTCTTCTGTTTGCTGCACACACACCTCAAATCAAAGTTGGCTCAAATTAAAGCCTCATCGCCTATGAAAGTCAATAATCCTTCTTTGTCATGGAAATTGTGGCTTTTGGAAGGGGAGAGGGCCCAGGCAAAAAAGCTGGACATCTTAGAGATGAGCATGCGTCTTCAGAAGTTTATATCCACAACTCCACTGAGACTAATGAAGTGGAAGATCATAAGCTCAATGATCATACACTTGAAACCAGAACTTCTTTTCCATTATAAGGGAATGGGAGAGATGGTGGTGGTGGTGGTGGTGGGGGGTGTATTTTGCATTCTCCGATTATAAGAGCTATCTTTCAATTTCCCCGTGATTGCTTAGGAAAACGAAGGGAAAAAAAAAAAAGAAAAAAAAGCAAGCATGTGCAACTGGCAACCCAGCTTTTCCTGGAAAAAAAATGACAAGTAGATCTGAGGTTGATTCTTGGTAAGCTGTTTCTTTTCACAGCAAGGCTTTTTGCTAAAGCAGCTTTCCTTAACAATGCATGCTGTGGCCAACATGTACTGTGCAGCAGAAGCAGAAAAAAATAAGCAGCAGGCTCTTAAGGCATCACAGGACAGTTTGCTTTTCACAACACACATTTTGATCACAGTTCAAGAGGCATGCCGCACAAAGAAGGATGCAAATCAAAAGAAACAAGCAAAAAGATAAAAGAAAGCTTTCAGTTTTGCCATCTTTGCAAATATCTAGGTCCTTTTTTCACAAACTGTGCACCATTGAAACGAGTAAAGACAAAAATACTCCCTTTCAGTTATACTATATTTCACCAACATAGCACCTTTCATTAAAAATTTTAACACACTATCTGAATAAATACAAAAAGGTACAATAAGTTGTGAAAAGAAATAACCAGCAGATTCCATATCGCTGAAAGTTACAGGAACGTTTTTTGGCTAGGTAACCACGCAGCAAGAGATCTGTCGCTTTTGAAGTCAAGTCTCATTTATGTGGGTAAAGACAAAAGACCAGAATCAATATGATGTAGATTTTAAGATATTGCGTAACTGTAAAGTAAATCCATAAGTTATTATGGTGTCTAAAATGTGAGTTTATGAGTCAGAAGAAGCATGTGTTCTGGGTTCTGTCCTTAACAGGCAACAAAGTGAAAGAGTTGTGTGTTCACAAGTACAATTTGCAAATTGTATACTGTGCTACAATAATATATTATTGCTTACTATGAGATAATGAGACTAACTTCTCAGCTAATCTTACACAAATACAATTTTGAAAGTATATGACACTAATAATATCACTGACATGGGTCATAGATATTATAATTCAGAGATTTCTGGGAAGGGAAAATGTCTTCAGATTTTTGCTGTAAAATACATGTACTGAAAACAGTAATTATTTTGCCAAAGCTTGAATCATAAAAAAATACTCTGTGTAACAAAAACACAGAGTTAAAAAATGTACAAGATATTAGATGAATAATACAACAATTCATACTAATATAGCTGTTTAACCTATATACCTTTTATGTGTTTGAATTGACTATCATGTTAAACAGCTGCTTTGTGTTAAAAATACCTTGTGTAAAAAAACCTTCCAGTATTGTAAGGGTTAAAAATTTCATGTATTTTCACTCTGATTTCCATTCTTACAGCCATGCTCAATAAAAATAATTTTAGCTATGTACCTAAAAACCCAAACAAACTAGTCTACCATATTTGAAGTCACTGCCCAGTTTCTGCCAGGCTGAATTTTCAAAATTCAAAACTTCAAAAGGCGCAGGTGTTATGACCACATCAAATATTGCTAATCTCAAAAATCCTGCATTTCAGAAGGAAATCTTACTTTGCACAAGTTGAAACTTGGCAAGTAAATGCCAAC